TACGCATACAGGATTGTTGGCGGCGCTTACTCGTTCTCCGTGTACTATAGTGTACTCCGAGAACGAATTGGGATCCTCTCCTAATGAATCCTCTTCTAATACCTACTAATAAGAAGATCTTGGCCGATCTTATCCGTATCTCCCGCCTATTTTTGTGCATGAGGAGATCTTGGCATTTGATTGATAAATCAAAGGCCAAGATCTCATTAGGAGATATTAGGAACCCTCTCATTAGGAGAGGATCCGAATCCGATTGAGTACAGCGGGTAGGTGCTGCCGAAATTTTGACGAAATAAACGTACACTTGAACACACGTAAATACATATACACGCTACGTTTACATAAATTAATGGGATAGAAGCCTTCCTCTGACAGCCGATCACACACACTTGTCCTATAACTTAAAATGATATATGTAGGGATATGCTCACTTCCATTAATTTTTAAATTCTAGATGCGGACAATTCCTGACAAATCGTTCATGGGCATACCACGTGATCGAAGGCATCTAGACACTCGATACAAGGATGGGATAGAAGCTTTCTTAGCCTACTCTGACACCAACCCTCTACGGTCACTCAGCGGGTTGATTTTTTGTCCTTGTAAGAATTGTAGGAATGATAAAATGCTCACTAGGAGTGACGTAAGTTTCCATCTGTCAATCAATGGATTTGATAGCTCTTATGTATTTTGGAGTCATCACGGTGAAGGCGTCCCGGTGATGCAATTAGAGGAAGAGTTTACTGATGTCGACAATCCGACAATTGACACAACTGATATGTTGGAAGATATTCTTACCGTGCCGTCTTCGAGTGATGTTAACACTACTGATATGTTTCAAGATGTAGCCCGATTGATGAGACTTGTTGAAGAAAACGAGTCACCGTTATACGAGGGTTGCACCGAGTTCACAAGGCTTTCTTTTATGCTGAGGCTTCTTCATATCCAAACACTCAGTGGGATGGCTGTTACACATTTCGAGATGTTATTAGACTTGCTCAGGAAAGTCATTCCAGGCGGCGAGAAGAGCATCCCCACAACTTATTATGAAGCTCACAAGATTGTTGATACCCTGGGTCTTGATTACAAAAAGATAGACGCCTGTCCTAATGACTGCATCTTGTACAATAAGGGTAATGAAGGTCTAGAGGAATGTCCGACGTGTCATGTATCACGCTGGAAAAAACATACGGGCACATCTGAAGGCATATCATCCAATAAACAGAGCAGAATCCCTGTGAAGGTTCTCCGATATTTTCCAATTATTCCTAGGCTGCAGAGGTTTTATATGTCTGCCGAGCTGGCTGAGAATATGCGATGGCATTCGACCGATCGTAAAGAGGACGGGAAATTGAGACATCCTGCTGATGGTGAGGCATGGAAGCACATCGATCGTATATACCCTGACTTTGGTAAGGAGTCTCGGAATATTAGGCTGGGGCTTGCTAGCGACGGATTTAATCCGTTTGGAGTAATGAGCTCTGCTTGGTCTACCTGGCCAGTGTTGCTGACACCGTACAACATGCCCCCGTCGATGTGCATGAAGCAACCGTACATGATACTGTCACTTTTGATCCCTGGAAGATATTCTCCTGGAAATGACATCGATGTTTTCCTCCAACCATTAATTGACGACCTGAAGCTTCTCTGGGAAAAAGGTGTCAGCACTTATGATGCTTATGGTAAGGAGTCTTTCTGTATGCGGGCAATGGTCATGTGGACAATTAATGACTTCCCGGCATACGCTAACCTGTCTGGATGGTCGACGAAGGGTCAGATTGCTTGTCCGGTTTGCATGTCAGATTATGAGGGAAAGTTCCTGAAATACAGCCGCAAGTTCTGTTATTGGCAACACAGAAGATGGTTACCTACAGGGCACAAGTTCAGAAAGTTAGTAGGAAAGTTCGACGGCAATCCAGAAAACAGACCGGCACCACCAAGGCTGACCGGGGAAGAAATATTTGAGCTTCTACATCCTCTACCTAAAAAAATATTTGGAAAGAAAAGATTCAACAAAGAAAATCCATTTGGGGTTAGGAGAAAAATATTGAAGCAAAATTGGAAGGGAAGGGGAAAGGGTAAGCAAACAAGGATGAGAAATAAACCTCGCACTGTCCAATCGCATGTGCGTGTCTCTAAGGGTACTGAACTTCCGCATGGATGGTCAAAATTCAGCATATTTTATCAATTGCCATATTGGAGAAGTTTAAAAATACGTCACAACTTGGATGTCATGCACATCGAGAAGAACATATGCGAGAATCTCTTGAACACTTTGTTGCAGGACGGGAAAAAAATCAAAAGATGACTTAAGGGCACGTCGAGACCTAGCAGAATTGAACATCCGTCCCGAACTGCAAGCTATAGATAAGGGTGACGGAAAGTTTGTACTCCCAGCCTCCCGTGTCACACTGTCGAAGGATGAGATCCATAATATGTGTTTATTTCTAAAGTCCGTGAAGACACCGGATGGTTATGCTTCAAACATTTCAGCAAATGTGCATATTGAGGACAGGAAAATTTTGGGACTCAAGACACATGACCATCATATTCTATTGCATCAACTTCTCCCGGTTGCGTTGCGACATGCTGAGAAGGAACTCGCGATGGTGGTAATAGAATATTGCGGTTTCTTCAAGCAGTTGTGCTCCAAGGTGATTGATGTCAGGGAGTTTGAAGAATTAGAGGGACGTGTAGCCAATACACTGTGTAAAATGGAAATTCTATTTCCACCCTCGTTCTTTACGGTCATGGTGCATCTCACAATACATTTAGCATATGAAGCCCGCATCGCAGGACCAGTTCAATATCGCTGGATGTACCCTGTGGAGAGGTATTTATTATTATAATGCTCAATTAATATTTGTTAAATTACGTATATCAGTTTTATTTTGTCACAAATCATGAAACTATATGCTTGTAGGTATTTGGGTTTCATGAAACATTTGATGCATAATCGTGCACGTCCTGAAGGATCGATAGCAGAGAACTATATAAGTAATGAGAGTTTGAATTTCATCTCTCGTTACTTGCGGGGTGTGGAGACAAGGCTCAACCGTCCCCAACGAATAATTGACGGAACATTCTATAATGATCGTGGGGAGGACACTAGATTCCCCAGAATGGAGCTAGATCAAGCCCACACATATATCTTGAGCAATGATACTACATTTAACATATACGCGACGTAAGTATTTAACTGTTTGAATCAGATCATATCACATCACAATAACTATCTCTATTTAACTGTTGTAAATGATTTTATTCTAGGCTTCACATCCGATATGTCCAGACTATTCTTAAATGCAGAACAAAAAACAAAAGAGTTATGGACACACACTCTAGACAATTCCCTGCATGGCTGAAGGGTGAAGTAAGATTTATTTACATTTCTGATTCGTATATCAAATATGTGCCTGCCAACAGATATTTAAACTATTTGTTTCTTTTCTTAAAGGTTGACCGACGTATTACGAATGGGGTTAACCTGCCTGAGAAAATATGTTTATATGCCAGAGGTCCTTCTAACGTGGTTAAGCGTTATGGAGGCTACTGTATCAACGGCTTTAGGTTTAACACCATCGGTTTCGAAGAGAGACGACAAACGCAAAATAGCGGTGTGTTCTGCTCCTTCTCGCAACTGTCATACGCTAGTTCAAAAGATCTAAATCCGATACAAGGTGAAATCTATTGCTACGGTCAGGTAGAAGACATTGTGGAGATTTTCTATGGGATTAATAATGAAGTCAGACATGTGATGTTTAAGGTTCGTTGGAGTGAGCTGAAAAAGGCGAAGGATGACTACGGTTACACACTCGTTAATCTTAACAAGGAAATATATCAGACTGAAAAGTACATGTTAGCTGCTCACGCAAAACAGTGCTTTTATGTCAAAGATATAATGAAAAATGACGAATGGGTTGTCCTTAAGAATCCGCCTAGATCCTACATTCATGAAGCCGTGTCTGACGAAGATCATGAAGATGTTATCTTGGCCGACGAAACAGTTGCTGAGTTTTCATTGACACAAAATAATCTGGTGGATGAAATTGCACTGGCGCGCCCTGATGTACCTGCGATTATATGTGAGCCAAGGCGTAAAATCAAAAAACGAGTCCACGGTAGAGTCGATAAAACTATAAGGACAGTCCTTTTGTCTGCACGCACACGGTCGCAGGCTAACCGCACACGGTCGCAGAGTAGAGCCTCAACATCATCATAATAATATAATGCTTGGTTATGATTTAAAAAGAACATTCATGTATCTGTTTGACTGGTTAACATGTATCAGTTTGTGTTATGTATTATAGTATTGCCTTTATATTATCTGTTTGACTGGTTATCATGTATCAGTTTTTGTCATGTATTATAGTATTGCCTTTATATTATCTGTTTGACTGGTTATCATGTATCAGTTTGTGTCATGTATTATAGTATTGCCTTTATATTATCTGTTTGACTGGTTATCATGTATCAGTTTGTGTCATGTATTATAGTATTGCCTTTATATTATCTGTTTGACTGGTTATCATGTATCAGTTTGTGTCATGTATTATAGTATTGCCTTTATATTATCTGTTTGACTGGTTATCATGTATCAGTTTTTGTCATGTATTATAGTTTTGTTGGGTACTCATTATGTTTTCAAAGTATAGATGACAAAAGGATTACGTAAGAGAGCGCTTGAGAGACTTATTGGTAGACATTCTGGAGGCGACGCACATGGCTCTACGTCAGGTATTTTTATTTATTTATTATATCTGTACATTTCTATAAACTATTAATACGAGCCTAACATTATTTTTTCACATTTCCTACGCAGGCCGCATCGCTGCTACACATGACGGGCCGCCACAGGACACAGGACGAGGAGATGCTCCACCTGATGCGGAGACACTCGTTGATCCTGCCCAGCATGCAGAGATGCCGCCGTCGCCTCCTCAGGCTGCAGATGTATTGGAGGAGCGCCGATATGAGCCATATAGCACAGCTGTAGAAGCTGCGCCACTACCGCCGGATTCTATTCCGGATCAGCGAGCCCACGACCCGGCCAAGGTGAAGGAGGATTGGGATGCTTATCATGATTTGCGACTTATCGCACAGCAGAGGTATGAACAAGCAAGGCGTAGATGCCTCGAATTGAAAGGTGTGTATAGATTTTTATAGTTTATCTGTTAATATTTTAATTTGTATTATCGATATTGATTGATTTATATTTCGCCTGAATTTCATTTTTTCGTAGGTACCGAGCGACCTACTAGGCGCGGCCGCAGTGGTACCAAGCCACAGAACCTCGTCCCAGATATTCGTCGGAGGGCCGTGATCCGATGGGAGAACGGCGTGCCTGTCGGGCCATTTGCTAACTCTTTTAACAATTTCCTCGCCTCTGTAGCCAGGAGACATGATTTCTTCAACATATATTTGACGTGGAAGTCGCAGCGGATTGATGCGTTGGTGGCTTGTTGGCGATATATATGTGTGAGTCATTTATTTTAATTCTCGTAATTATTAGTCATTTTATTATTTTGTTTAACACACTGATTTGTATCTCTTTTTTCATTGTATGCTGAAGCGATTTTTCTTTCTTGACGATTACGCTTGTGCCTGGACTTACTGCTTCACGCAAATCAATCTATCGTTCAAGAGGTGGCGGTCAGAGCTGAAGAAAAAATATTTTACTCAAAGAACAGAAGATTGGGAGCGTTACTGGCATCTTGACGAGCGCGCCGATGGAGTTGATTTTTTTGCACTTTGCGATTATTGGGACACGGCCGAAGCTCAGGTATTATTGAAGTATATATCTTCGTTTATTGTTTGAAATTCTATATTATATCTGTTTAACATTCTTTTGCAGGAACAAGCTGAAATAGCAAGGAGGAACCGCAATGCGCCCCGCAGTTACGAGCATCACGGGGGCTCCAGGTCCTTCAGCCAGCATTATCATCAATTGGCGCTTGAGGTATATAATATATTAGCTCTTAGGTTATCAATTTGAGTATAATTTATGTGTTATGAGTTAATGATATATGTGAATAAAATAGGGAAGGGGAGAACTCGGGCATTTTGCAGATCGTATTCTGACTGGTTGGAGTCCAAATTACGCCGATGAAGTGAAGAAAGCGCAGAACCGGGATCTGGCTGTAAGTAGCAGTTAATTTGTATATTTAATTTTTATAACAATGCATTTTAAATGTGTTAGAATTGACCGGGTTGTTTTGGTATATCGCAGGAGAAATTACATGCTAAGGTGCAGGAGCAATTATCACAGACTCAGGTCGATTCTAACACTCCGACCCGATTAAGTAGAGAGGAGGAGGATAGCATCATCGAGACGGTCATTGGACCGAGTAGGAAGAACAGATACAGGTGGAGAGGATCCGAGCATCGGCCGTACGAGTCCAGTAGCACCTACGAGTCTGCAGCTCCACCAGGATGCAGTTCTTCTCAAGACCCGACTATGGAGCAGCGGATGAAAGCGATGGAAGATTGGCAGTCGCGTCGGGAGTCGGAGCTACTCCAGATGGCGGAGGAAGAACGGAGGCGTCGGGAGCAGAGGGAGCTGGAATTCACCCAGTTTATATCGACTCTACCTTCTGATGCTCAGGAGGCATATAGGAGACGGTTTTTGGCGGATCAGGTAATATATATATATATGTATATTTCTTTTTTAATTAAATGAATTAAATATAAAATTCTTACTTAGTTACGAGTATGCCGTGTGACTAAATGATATCACACAAACTGTTACACACAAACTATATCTCTCTCCGAAACACAACTAAAATTATATACTTAATGTTTTTATGTGATGGTGGTGTTGATGGTGCGTGCATGCGTAGCGATGGTTGTATTGGATAGTGAGTTGGTTAGTTAGTTGTTATTTTGTTTTGTTGTGGGGCGTTCGTGTGTAGGGTCGTTGGTTATGTTGTTGGTTGGTGGGTGTTTTCGTCGTGGTGGTGGTGGTGGTGGTGATGATGATGGAGGGGGAGGGGGTGGGGGGTAGGAGTTTGGTTGGTTCGTGGGTGGGGTTGGGGGATTGTTATTGTGGTGGTGGTGGTGTTATTATTGTTGTGTTGTGGTGCCGCATGCAGATGTATTGTCGTGATTGTTATGTGCGTGCTTGATGTTGGGTTTGGTCGTGGTGGGGGAGGGGGAAGTGTGGGGATTGGGTTGAGCTGGGTACTCGTGCGTGCGTGTGTGCGTGTCGGTGGAGATAGGTACGGGTGCGTGCGTTGTTAAAAACATGTGTGTGCTTGCGTATAATACATAAATATATGCCATGATACTCTCTCTGAATCATATAACATGTAAGAATATGCCATGATACTCTATTATTGCTATACTTGCATGTTATGCCTTGTTGTTTTATAATTTGTTACTTTACTGTAAAATTCAGTTTTTGATGATGTACGTATTGCTCTATAACGTTTTTTTTATTTTTTTAGGCTGGGACTTCTCGACAAGGTGGAGTTGGTGATGAGGATGATGATGATCGGGACTGAGTTTATTTGTTTTAACATTAAAAACAATGGGTGTGCTGTATAAATAACATTATAAATGTTGGGATATTTATTATGTTTTTAGTGAAATAATTGTTATATATGCGTGAAATATGTGTTAATGCATGTGTTGTGTAATATATTGTACAGGTTATTGTTGTAAAATATATTGTACAGGAATTTCTATTTTTCAAAACAATTTTTAAAAAAGTTTCTGTCCATTTTTAGCGACGGAATTTCCGTCGCTAAAATAACTTTTAGCGACGGAAAACTGACACGGCAGATTAGCTTTCAGCGACGGAATTTCCGTCGCCAATATTTATTGGCGACGGAAAAGTTTATAGCGACGGAAATAGGGCGACGGAAATACGGTCGCCAAAATATTGTATTAGCGACGGAAAATCCGTCGCCAAAAATAATAGCGACGGACAAATATATAGCGACGGAAAATACCGTCGTCAAAAAATAATACAAAAACGACGGATTTTCCGTCGCTATATTTCCGTCGCTAAAAATTAGCGACGGATTTGCCGTCGCTAAAAGAAGCTTTAGCTACCCTCACAATAGCGACGTAGTTTTAGCGACGGAATTTCTTTTTTTCCGTCGCTAAAACTTTAGGCGACGGATTTCCGGCCTTTAGCGACGGATTTGTCCGTCGCTAAAAGTCCTGTTTCCAGTAGTGTTTATAGCCTATATTCCTCTTGTCACTCATGATGACCTGGAACCATATTTACAGAGAATCGTGGATGGTGATGATTCACCAATTCTAACAGGGAGGCCAGTTACAGCATTGTCGTTGAGGTACTAAAATTTCTCTTCAATGTTTTTTTTATTAAAACTAACTTTTATTTTCCTCTCATAAGTTTTGAAAGCTTGTATATTTGTTGTAGTTCTGGTACGACACATGGAAAATCAAAGCTTATTCCCTTCAACGAGGAAATGTTATGATCCACGATGCAGATTTATCACACATCATTTGCTTTTATAAATATGTAAGTTTATTTTTGTTCATTATAGGTAAATTTATTATGAAATTCATTTTTGAGGAAAAAATATATTATAAAATTAATGTCCCCATGAGAAAAAATTATACTACAGCACCTTTAAGCATGCTCATTTAAATCTCTTGGCTTGATATTCATTATGAAGCATATGCCATTACCTACCAACTTAAACTTCCAGATAAATCGTGCATGTCAATATATTTCTGATGAACTCAACTAAGACCAATTTCATAGAGAATACCCCATGAATGATGAAAAATCTCTCCAATTCATATACGCAAGCAAATAATCACTAACTAAAGGGGGTCTAATTGCAACTGCAAGCACAACTAACGTATACCGAAGCCAACAGTTCAAGAACACAATGCAGGACATCCATTCTCAATGATGTAGCCCAAACGAAGTCAGTTTCTGCATAGACTACAACCAGTCAGTGTACTATCATCTCTTGTGCGGGTTAATTTACTCCCAAGAGGTGCAGATAATTTCTTCTGCATTTGCCTTCATCATTGTTCTTGCATTGAGAACATTTGAACAGGTTCGGGGAGAACTCTGTGCTGATATAAGAGAAGGGATTCTCTCAAATAAAATTATAATTCCTTCACTTAGAGAAGTTGTTTCTAAGATTTTGACTCCTAATCGAAATTTGGCTGATACAATATATAGGAAATGCATGAGTTTAAGCAATTGGTGCAATATGATTCCAGAGCTCTGGCCTAATGCGAAGTATGTGTATGGAATTATGACGGGATCAATGGATCCTTACGCAAGGAAATTACAACGTTATGCTGGAAGTCTGCCAGTGCTGAGTGCTTATTATGGGGCTTCGGAAGGATGGATTCATGCTAATGTGAATCCAAGATCAAAACTGGAGTATGTGGCCTATGCAGTTTTTCCTAATATCAGTTATTTTGAATTCATTCCTCTTAAGGAGAATCACAATGAGCAGGAATTGAATAATGTCGACTCTAAATTTTGAAGAGAATGCCAAAATTTTAGGAGATAATAAAAGGTAAGCGAGAATTCAGAATCGGAAAATTCCTGTTTAAATTAAAGAAAGCGCCTAAGGAGGAGAAAGTTAAGGGAGAATGGTAAAGTCAAGCGTCAGCTTGGGTGGAATTGAATCATGTCGTGTACATAACTACATGTACTGACATCTTTGTGGCTGCACATACTAATTTTATGTGGTAGATTGCATGCACACTATTTAGCTTAGTATATCTCATTTTGAACACTAATGAATAGTTGTTAAACAGTACATTGTATAGCTGGCTTAATGCAATTTAATTTTGTAGGCTACTATAATTGTAGCCACTATTGACCACGTTTTTCTGGGAAAAGCCTTGTTATGATGATTAGCATATGCTGTTAATTGCAATTCCATTAAATTCATTACGGTTGAACTTAGTCCCTAATTGTTATGTTTCTTAATGCTTGTTATTGAGTTGACTCATTCGTCTGTTCAAGCTTGATGCACTTGTTTAACCTATTTATGATGAATGTCATGGATTTTGTATTTACTTGAATGAACTTTCTGATCATACTTTATTAAATTGTTTTTTTCTTTCTTTAATAGGAGGTGATATCCCAGAATCGAAACGGGCTATTGAATTAATTAGTTTATTGGGAGTTCAAATTTCACCTATACAGGTTTACACCATGAACCTCTTTCTTGTATGGGCATATATAATTAAATTCTTTTCACGCACACTGTTACATATATTCATTCGGCCATATGAAAATCAGTGTCAATTTGTTCTAGAAAGTGTAGGTTTTGTATGTGTAGATCAACAATTTGGAGCCTCTTATGAATAAATGTTCAAGCATGTTTCATTTAGGCTATCAAGCTTGTTTAAGTGAGCAATTTGGAGCCTCTTATGAATAAATGTTCAAGCATGTTTCATTTAGGCTATCAAGCTTGTTTAAGTGATGATTAGTGAGTCGATCCATATTCCTTGTTCAAGCATGTTTCATTTAGGCTATCAAGCTTGTTTAAGTGATGATTAGTGAGTCGATCCATATTCCTTAGCCATTGTTAACATCCCATATCCATCTATTTGAGATGTTTTTTATTATTAAAAATAAATAAAGCTTATGAAATGCATGAAGCATATAGTTTGGTGTGGATGTATCATTATATTAGGCCATCGATTAAGGTCCATGATAGACTTCTTAATACATTAACAAGGTCAGTGGATAAGCTCTTTTATATCCATCCTCCCTACATAATTATTTTTTCCATTTATGTGAACTTTTTTCTACCGACATATGATACAAGTTGTCCATGGGCCTTCACCTTTCAAAGGCCTGGCAAACAGGTACGGGCAAGTTCTTAATGAGACCATTCTTTTATCCGAGTCTTATGTCTTACTGTGATAGACTTATTCGTATTTCTCTTTGGGTCTTTGGACCTTTGTACCATCCATATTTCGCATGAAAATAGGATTTACCTTTTTTTGTGTTAAATTTCAAGTACTATATTATGCTTCATATTTCTTTAGTTATAATGATTCTTTTCATCCTCCAATATGCAGATTTGAAAATGAGCTTGTTATTGCCATTGGGAAAGGAGAACCTGTTGTGGTAATGTCGGAGTATGGCTTCAAGTGAGTTTTAAAATTGGTGAAGTGTTACTTATTTAAGAGCTCAAATGTATAAGTAGAAAACTGTAGCATGCATACTATTTCTTGATATTTGTTTTCTGTCTGCAGAAAAGTTCTTTCCATAGATGAATACACATCATATTTTGAAGACATTGATCCCTTGTCGCAATTTAAATGCTGGGCTACTAGGCAAGCTAATGAGAAGAACACATCCAGGGAATCACATTTGAGATACAATGTTTACTCTCAAAGAGTAAAAGGAGTATTTGTTTTTAGTGACCCCGTTGACTGGGGAAGGGACATCCAAGTATCACCATTTGTAACCAAAAACCTACATCTTTTAAGTATATAATATTGATATACGACATGTTTTCTCTTTATGCTTCTTTTTCTTTCTGGGGTTAACAAAGATGAGAGGATGCCTTGGTTTTATAAAAAGGAAGTTGTCATCATGGTTGATGAGTTATGCTTCATGAGACTGCAAAGTTAATAGCCTCATAATCATCTGAATTTGATGGTTGGTTCAATATCTGAACAAGGACGGTAATAATCACATGTCGATGGTTGGTTCAACATCGAAACAAGGACGCATACTCTCCAGTTGCTTAATAAAAAGATAGCAAACAATGTTAGTCAAGATGGATGGCCATAGAACCTGACGAGGATGAAGTCGATAGTAGTATTATGGGTCCCTTGGTAGGTTAATAGTGCATGTAGCAAATGGTGTTAAAGATCCAACATGAGATGATTAAATGGGAAAGAGATTTTTTTTTACATCTTTCCTTATATATATTATGCGAGGCACAAGAACCTTCAGTTGGAAAACAAACTTCACAAAGACATCTTATCTTAACCCTTCTTGTAGATATTCTTGTTATGAGCAAGGTTTTCATTAGGGATAAGCCTGACAAATGAGTTCACATAGTTTATCAGGATCAAGAGTTCTGTAAGTGAAGAGTTTTTTGTGGTGTTTGATATAAAATCACTGAGGTACCAAATGTTGTTTTCCTTTGCCTTGTGTGGCAGTGGTCATGAGCACATATCATGTTCAGATTAGACTCCTCAGACCAGTCCTGAGTTTTTTGGGAAGTTTGGAAAGTCTTTATGTAATCCGTGGCTTTACACTTGAGAAAAAGTTTTATCAGGGTGCTCTTTGTTCGGTGTCTAATATCATTTGCATATAGACACAAATATAAAGGGTTAATTGTGAACATAACCCTTGTAGTATCACTCAATTGTAAAGAGACCCCTTGTAGTTCTGTATATTGCAAGCAGACACCTTGTAGTTCTACTTGATGCAAATAGACCCCTTAGTGAAATTCTTTTTGCTCTTCAAATCGCTAAGAATGTTTGAGGAGGTAGATAGATCTCCTATTTTTTCACTTTTAAAAGAATCGAAAAAAGCCACTAAGGGGTGTATAGCACTTGGGCCAATACTACAATGGGGTCTATTCACAACAAGTAGAATAGACCAAATCTTTAGATTTTGTTCATATGTTTACTCTATTGTTTACATTCAATAAATTTATACTAAATCTTTCCTAAATAAAATTAAAATTTAAAATAATATTAAAAAATTTACCACGTGCATTGCACGTGCAATCCAACTAGTAACTCAAAATTTATGAGACATTGATCTGTGTATTAACCTAAGGGGCGGGGGAAGGAGAGGGATTAACATTAAATTGTCGGGTTTTTTTATCAATAAAAAAAGATTTTATTCATCACCAAATTTTAAAATGAGAGTGCAACAAGAACAACCAGAAAATGTTCTGGCAATCAAAATTTGAAAACTCACAAACTACTTAAAATTTTCCTATTTTTTCTGTCAAATACTCAGGAATATCCTCATTTAGAACTTTTAAGAGTAATAAAATCTTCACTTCTTTGATAAGTTGATCAGGACTGCGTGTTTTTTGCTTCCATATCCAGTAGACAGCCCCTGATAATGTCATTCTTTTTAGCTTCTTCATGAATCCAAACCCCCTCAAGTTGTTGCTGTACCATCCCATAACATGATCCCAGCTGCAAGATCTCCATGTATACTTCAGCCATGCCATTAATTTATTCCAGAAATAAGACGAGTAATTGCACTCAAAGAATAGGTGATTTCTAGACTCCATGTGACTAACAGAATTAGCACACAAGACACACTGATTGATATTCAGTATACCTATGCGACACAACCTGTCCTTAGTTAGAAGCTTTGATAGAGCTGCAAGCCATAGGATTATTGAATGATTGGGATAATGCAAGCCTCCCCACACTGTATTCGCCCAGGGTGCAGTAGTCGTGGATTGAGAGATAGCATTGTAGACAGATAAAATTTTAATTCTACCATTTTTGTGACAGTTAGTGATGACTCTATGCAGATTATTCAAATTCCCAAACCTGCTCATTGCCAAATCACTTACCTTTAGGTTTTGTCTCCATATCCATGAATCACTTCTCTTCGGTTGAACTTGCCAGATTTCCTGATGTTGCACGTAATTTTCATGCACCCATTTTATCCACAAGAGGTCTTTTTTAGAATGTATCATCCATAACATCTTGATAGTTGTAGCATAGTTCCACATTCTGGCAGAGAATAGTCCCAATCCTCTTAACTTTTTATCCTTGCAAACCTCTATCCAGGAGACAAGGTGAATTTTGCTCCCCCACAAGAAAGCAGAGCATAGCATATTAATTTTTTTTCAGCACCTTGATCAGCAGAATATAATTACTTGCCCAGTAAATTTGAATCCCCAAGATAACAGTCTTGATTAGTTAAATTCTCACAGCATATGACAAGTTCTTCCTACATTGTCAGTTCTGAAGTTAGTCTAATATTTTTGAGATCAAAGATGAGCAGTCCTGAAAAGAAAGTCGTTTTGAAACCAAAGGCATTCCTAAATATCTCATAGGCAGAGAGCCCTCTGGGAAGTTTAAGTATGTACATATTTGTGCCCTTGAATTGTCTTCAATCCGAATACAGAGCTTTTGCTAGAGTTTGCCTCCAACCCAGATACTCTACTGAATTCCTGAAGGCAATTATTCATTTTAGTTATTGAATCCATGTCTGCTCTACAAAAGAGTAACAAATCATCAGTGAAAATCAAGTGTGTAATCCCTCTCCTAGCAAATTTTGGGTGGTACTTGAACAGTCTGTCAGTGTTGAGAGTTTTGAGTTTCCTAGATAGATATTTCATACCAAGCACAAACAAATAAGGAGACAATGGATCTCTTTGCCTCAATCCTCTAGCTCCCTCAAAGTAACCATGTAATGAACCATTAAGAGACAAAGAGAACTTAGAGTAGAGATACATTCCATCACCCATGTAACCATATTTTTAGGGAATCCCAAACTTGTCAACATAGACTTAATAAAACTCTAACTTATAGTGTCAAATGCCTTTCTCAAATCAATATTGAGAACAGCTCTTGGAGAGACCTGCCTTCTGCCATAATGCTTTAAGAGCTCATGTGCTAGGAGAATATTATTGGAAATAAGTCTACCTTTAACAAATGCACTTTGTGCATCATCAATCAGGAAACCAATTACATTCTGAATCCTGGTAGCAATGACTTTAGATATTACTTTGTATATGCAGTTGCAGCAAGAGATTGGTCTATAATCGAATGGAGATCTGGGATTGAGGATTTTAGGCACTAATGTGATAGAGGTAGAGTTGAAGATGCCAAGGAGCTTACCAGTATGAAAGAATTCACCCACTGCTTTGCACTTTCATCTCCAATAATATTCCAGGCAGTTTTGAAGAATGATGCACTAAATCCATCAGGACCAGGGCTTTTATCATCAGACATAGTGAAAACAGCTTGTTTTATTTCCTCCCTTGTGACAGGAGAATATTATTGGAAATAAGTCTACCTTTAACAAATGCACTTTGTGCATCATCAATCAGGAAACCAATTACATTCTGAATCCTGGTAGCAATGACTTTAGATATTACTTTGTATATGCAGTTGCAGCAAGAGATTGGTCTATAATCGAATGGAGATCTGGGATTGAGGATTTTAGGCACTAATGTGATAGAGGTAGAGTTGAAGATGCCAAGGAGCTTACCAGTATGAAAGAATTCACCCACTGCTTTGCACTTTCATCTCCAATAATATTCCAGGCAGTTTTGAAGAATGATGCACTAAATCCATCAGGACCAGGGCTTTTATCATCAGACATAGTGAAAACAGCTTGTTTTATTTCCTCCCTTGTGACAGGAGAGCCTGGTAATTCTCTTTGATTTGATGAGAGAATAGGGCCATTGGCTATAGTAGCTGAATCAGGCTCTAAATTGTCGGTTACAATGGGTTTGGGTTGCATTAGCTACAATTCCTTGTCAAATTTTAATTACTTGTTTACGAGAAAGTGTAGAAATGAATTAATAGAATTAAATCGTTAAAGAAGGAAGAAAGAGATTTAAGAGATTTCCTTTTCATTTTGCGAGTATAAAACTCAAAATATTATCATGTGATAATCACTGATCTGTTTTATGCAGAATTCTGAATAACTATAGTATCAAACAATTTTGATCTTAGAAGTAAGATAACTTTGAATTATGTTTTGAGCAAAATTTGGACTTTAAAGTATTCTAGTTTAAAATCAATATTAACTTTAAGGCATTAAAAGTGCAATTAATCCTTATCAGTTTTATGAGCAAACATCAAGTGAGACCACAAGTGAAAGATCCCATCTAAGGACAAGGCCAAAACATGAGTCTTGTACCCATTTGCAAAAGTGCATGCATACACTGAGCTGGCTATATATCTGGTTAAGTGAACCTTTCCTCAATCATTGCCTCCTCTCTTGGGCCATAGTTGAGCATTTTAACACCCCTGGTTCTAAAAAGCCGAAGGCAAAATGATCTACTCTAATCATTTCATCCCATCTCAATCTCTATCCCCATAGACGTGTCATAGGACAGGACCATAAAACACATACAAGTTACAACATCATCATGATCGCTGAGATCTAATGCACATATGCATGCATCCGTCCAATCAACCTACGTGTGGGGCCCATGTTCAAGGCCAGGAAAAAAATGTATTACTTACATGTAGTTAATATAACACTAGGGTTATTATTGGTTGGGACAAGTTGGGATCAAGTAGGATAATAATTCTAAAATTCTCTATTTGGGATATTGTAAATAGGGCAAAGTGGGACAAGTTTAGATGATGGGACGATTTAAAGTTTTGATTTGAAAATTCATGTGAGATAATGTATGATTTGATATTTTATAAAAATATAATATTTATTTATCAATAAAGTCTAAATTAATTTATTAAATAGTTTAGTATATTATTTAGCATGTTATTATAATATAATACATTATTTTTAAAATATAATATTTTATATTATAATTACTAATTAATTTTAACTATGTTTAATGTTATTAATTAATATATTATGTTATATTATAATAATATGATATATATATTATTTAATATAATGTACGAACAATATATTTAATATAATATTTTAATAATATAATATTTAATTTACAATAGATTTAGATATTATATATTTTGTTTTATTTAATATAATATTATTTAAAATATTATACTATTAATAAATATAATATTATATTTTATGATAATTACTACAATTTAAATAGGATAATTGATTACACGGCACCTTATTAAAATAAAATATTTATAATAACCGTAAAATGCTACTAATATGTTCAATATTATTAATTAATATACTATATTATATTAGCTTTATATATGATATTATATATAATAACATACTTTAATTATAGTAGATTATTACTATTAGAATATATTTAAGACTGTTAATGAACATAATAAAGTTTAATATAAAATACTAAATTATTATATAAATTAAAATATTATATAGAATATATTATCATATTAAATTATTTTAATATAATTAAAAATTATTATGTTGAATATATAAACACTAAATTAGAATATAATATTTTATATCATAAAAATAACACAATAATATGAAATTATCATACATTATAATAATATAATACTAATGTTATAATATATGAAATATTATTGACTAATAT